AAGAGCAAGGCACTCAAGGAAAAGCAGAAACAAAGGGTCCTGGGGCTTCCACCTCAGGACTGGATCTGAGGAAAATGGGACAGAACAATACAGACCATAGTGTCATGCCCTTCAAGCAAACTGTGACAGTGCTTTGCTCTCTGCCATGGTGCAGTGGGAGTCCCACGGCAGTCTTGGACAGAACAAGCAGAACTGATGAGGGACTGCTGTTGGTTGGGGTTGAGATGTGCAGCAAGGAAGGGAAAATTCTTTCATGGGTTGGATATGTTCATAGCACTACTTAGCTCATTATAGAAATATTGCCTCTGTATTTCTAAAATTGTAATGTATCAAGGCTTATATGACAGCATGTAATATGGCAAATTAGGAAAAATGGAAAAACAGAAATCTCAATGTTGATCAAGCTCCTGATGTAAACCTGCAAAAGAAAATTTGACACAGGTTTTAAAACTAGGATTTTTTTGAGACAGCTACACACTTGGTCAGGCTTCTAAGATGAAATACTGTAAAATTACATATCTTTAGAGACACCAAATGGAGGCACTGAAAATAACACCTAACTGAAATAAATTCTCAACAGAAAGGACTGATCCCTGTTTTGCAGTACTTTGTTCAAATTCACGGACACAAGATGTGGTTTGCCACTATTTTAATAAAAGATTGCTCAACTAAATCTATACTACTGCCTTTTCTGCCATGACAATTTCTGAATAAAAGAAAGTTGCATTCAATAACACAGCACTGAAATTGATATTCATTAATATTTTCAGTGTATTGGCTCCTATAAAGAAAAGGTGAATGTGGTGAATTATAAAATATCATTACAAGCCCGCAGCACATTCTAGAAGTCTCACTTTATTCTGCAGTTTCCTAGGAGATGCCAAAGAAATGGGTCACAAACAGAAGTGATCAGAGTGAGACTCCCCACTTTTCCTGAAGTATTATGGGACAAGACAAATCACATCTCACTGCTTTGCCCTCAAACTATTTAGTAGTTTTTATAAGTTAGGCAGAAGTACAAAGTAATAATGAGATTTTTCTCCTTCAAATCAAGTTTAATCTGTCTTGTAAACTACTCAAAACACAATGTATTGCACCAACCAGGACAAAATTGCGCCTCTTGACAAAGCTGTTTCATGGGTCTGAGATAGGAAAGAGAATCTCACACCTATATTTCTGCCTCATTTCATTCACACGTAAGAACTCGGATTACTGTAGGTTATCTGATGCAAGAAAAATACAGTGTTGTGAAGAATCATGCCCTTATTTTCTTCTCAAGACTTTTTGTTCGTATTTAAAATGAACACGCATGCCAATAACTATTCCTTCTTCAACATAAATCAGGTTTGCAAAAACAAATTAAACTTACAATAATTCATCTAGCAAAATAGCTCACGGTGCTTTGTTACAGGATAAACTCATTCATGACTGAGGAAAAGACTGATTCTCAATAATGTGAGTTAGGTTGCAAGGTATCACCGAAGATGGCGGTGGCACAAAGCGCAGTTGGAGACATGTCACTGGCAGAGTGACCTAGGGACTGACGCTGGGACTAACACTGTTTAACATCTTCCTTAATGGCCTGGATGATGGGGCAGAGTGTACACTCAGCAAGTTTGCAGATGAGATAAAACCAGGAGGAGTGGCTGATACACTAGATGGTTGTGTCATCATTCAGAGGGACCTGGACAGGCTGGAGAACTGTTGCCAATAGGAACATCACAAAGCTTGACAAGGGGAAGAGTGAAGCCCTGCACCTGGTCAGGAATAACCCCCTGTATTGCTACATGCTGGCAGCTGATCAGCTAGAAAGCAGCTTTGCCTGGCATCCTGACAAGAAGTTGAACATGAACCACCAATGTACATTCGCAGAAAAAAAGGCCAACAGCCTCCAGGGTTATATTAATAAAAGCACTGCCAGCAGGTCAAAGGATGAGATTCTTCCTCTCTACGCAGCCCTGGTGAGGATGTATCTAGTGTACTCTGTTCAGTACTGGGAATGGACTGGGATTCCCATTACAAGAAAGCTATGGGCCTATTGGAGCAAGTCCAGGACAGGGTCACGAAGATGATTAAGGAGTATCTTTATATGAGGTGAGGCTGAGAGAGCTGGGACAGATCAACCTGGAGAAGAGAAGGCTCAGGCTCAGATAAGATGGCTCTTATTAATATATGTAAATAACTGATATGAGGGAATGAAGAAGAGGGAGACAGATTCTTCCTAGAAATGTCCACCAACAGGACAAGAAATGATAGGCACAATTTAAAACCCATGTCATTCCTTCAGAACACAAAGAAAGAGTTTGTTTTTTTACTGTGATAGAGGTCAAACACCAGAATGGGTTGCCCAGAAAGGTTCTGGAGTCTCCATCTGCAGAGATATTCAAAACACAAATGGACAGTCTTGGATAACCTCTTTCACTTGACCCTGCTTGAGCAGGGGCTTGGACTAGATGACCTCAAGAGGTCGCTTGCAACCTAAACAATTCTGTGGTCCTGTGAAGATGATATAAGAATTCTGAGAATGTGTGCTGATAACTAAGTCACCAGGCTAGGAAGGTCTTTGTGTTTAGTCCCCTGCTTTACCACAGACTTCTCTTTCATAAGCCAGAGCATTTATTTTAGTTACTAATTACCACAATCTGCCTAACTCAGATCCTGGAGGGACAAGCATACAAGCAATTGACAGAAATGCTTTTTCCATGACTTAGTATAGTGAGGCATTCCGCTTCATTTTTTTCCCCTCTGAATTGTCTGGTTAGCCCACTTCCAAAATAGAATGCAAAATGAGTTGGGCTGCAAGGTTATTTCTTTATGGCACTTTTTATTTAAACCTGTGCATTTACTGTTGAGAATAACAAAGAAGGAAAAAAGACACATGACTTTAGGTATGCTTTCCACTAAAACGCAGCCTAGTTTATTCAGGTAGAAAAGAAACCAGTCATCCTACACAGAGAAGAATAAAGAGAAGAGAAAGACACCAAAGGTTGATGCTGTAGATGCAGTTCCAATTATTTATTAACAGAATGCATAAATTTTGTACATGGTAAGCTTCAGCGGGAATAGAGAAGGAAACTTTACTCCTAAAATAGCTAACTCACACATTACTGCAACTGATATTTTCATTTTAAAATCAGATGAAGAGCTAAGTGCAGAAAAACACATAAAGAAATCACAAAAAGTTGTAAAAGTACTAGAAAGGAAAGCTATTAAATTATGCAGTATTTTGTGGGCCACTAGCTTGCTTTACTACATCTGTGCTTTGACTGTCTGCACCTGAAAAGTGCATTTATGGCCCATTAGGAAAAGGCACTGAAACTTGGGAGATACCTAATAGGCTGTAATCCAGTGCCTATGTCTCAAATATGTAGAAATGGCCCAAGTTTGGCTGTCTCAGTGGTTGAAATGTACACATTCCAACTTTTTACAGCATCATAATGCTCCAGGCAGTCCACTTCCTGGAAAGGTTTGTATTTTCCCATGATTAAAATCACTCGGGTTTTGATCACCTCTGAGAGCATCACAAAGGTATGGTGTAATGCAATAATCTAGAAATACACTGCCTATGGTGTTACATCAATGCAGTAACAGAGTATCTGTGCCAGCTTCAGCCTTCTAAGTGAAATGGAAAGGATCAGAAAGACTGGGGCTCTGGATTGAGGCAGAATACTAATATAGCTCTTATAAAGTAAACCAAAGTAATTTTTTTTTAATTTACAAGTTCAACATAGGAACAGCTGTAAATTGGAGTCATCTACTGTTGCTGTGCTGGTCTGGATGCTCAGCATACATTAGAAAAATTAAACTTAGGATGGATAAACTGCACAGAAGATTAATTGCAAGCCTTCTCCTAGAGAAACTCCATGAAAGAAATGGATGTTCACATGTGCCACCTAGCACAGAGGTGTTGGCACTGTTAAAGACAACATGGCTGTTGAACTGAGGAGAATGTACTACCTCTGAGACAAGGGTAAGTGCAGAAGCCACATGAGGAAGTTCCCCCAGACTGAGAGATTCCAAAACAAAAGTAGTAAGAACTCTACTGCCACTGCGCATACCACCCTCACAACTAATCCATGATGTTCCCACTCTAGAGTGGATGCTTTTGTGAATGGTGGATAAATACACCCCCAGCCAAACTGAGAGAACTGGCAACACTGACACCCCATTTTCAAGTGACCAACAACACAGATGTGCCACTGCCACACGGGATAATGAGAAAGCTATCCCTCCTTAGACTCACCCCTAGTTCCAGGAGCTCCACATCCACTACACAACTTGCAAGAAACTAATAAGTCGATGCCAAAGACCAGACTAAAGATTCAAAAAGTGTCACTGCTCAGCATATCCATTCATGTTTCTCTCACTGCCTGAAGAGTAATACACAGCAATAATCAAAGTTGTTGTTTTGTAACAGAACACTACCTGTAAGACAGGTACAGATGCCAGTTCAGTGTCCTTTCATTTCCCTTTCCACACTTTGTCTACATTATCTATGAATGTTTGGGGTTCATGGAATTAGAGCCTACCTCTGCCCTCACCATGACCAGCTCAGCAGGGCTCAGACTTTGACTGGATCTTCTACAGGTCAAACATCTCCATTAGCCTACTGTGAATGTACAGAATACAATAATAATGGGAGGCTTATGAAGACCAGAGAGAACAGGGGATCATACAGGGGAAAATGGAAGTAGAACATAAATAGGAGTGATATGTTTTCTAAGATGAAAACAAAATGAAGGAAGGTCAATGGAGAACTGGATGCTAAGATTTAAAAATAGTGATTTAAAAGTCACTGATATCACTGGCAAATCTTCCACTGACAACACTGAACTGCAGTTACTTATTTAATTAGCATATCGCAATTACCTTACATACTTGATATTAAACTTGGGTGAATGTGAACACACACTATGGAAAATCAAATTAACCAGTATTAAAAAATATAAAAATGAAACTTCTCAGGAAAGTATCAAACCACATGGAAACATTAAGTTTACCTCAGCTCCTAAACTGAGAGAGATTATTTCATCCTCAAAAGCAGAATGTGTATCAATATGAGGAGGGATTCCTGGAGAAGAAAAAACCAAAAATATCAATATAGTAATAACAACAACAACAACAACAAAAACAGTAATAGAGTGTTATCTCTGCTAGGAAGTTCTATTTCTATGGATGTCCATATGGAAAACTGGGACGTTTGGTTGAACAAACAAAAGTTATCACAAAACAACAGAGTTGCCTTCCAAAAGAACTGAGAGTAATTGTCTGATTTACATACCCAGATTAGATGGACACAGTTAACCTAAATGTCCTGTATAATCAGTGGAAATATCTAGAAGACAGTACAGGGCACTCAAAGGCCTCATTCACCTTCTGATGACTCCAAATACGTTCCCTGCTGCAAGGAGTAGCTAAATGATTTTGATTTTCTTGTAGGCAGTTCAGCCCTTAGCAGTAGCACTTTGAGATGTTTGGCAACTTTGGACTTTAGATAATCCACAACCATGTATTTCTCCCCCACTCTCTTCAAAGAGGAGTAATCCCAAATCCCTCTATTTGCTAAGCAAATGACTGTGTAAAGCATCTCAGATTCGGAATTAGGACCTACTACCACAAAGGCAGGCACTCTCAGGGTAAAGCCCTGCCTCTGCTTTGCAGTTCCTGGTAGAGCAGATATCATTGCTAGGCTAACCCCTGGGTAGTACATCTATTGGTATGTGCATGAGTAAACACACACCGCTGAGAACTGCCAAAGGGACAGTAATTTTTTTGGTGGTTGTTGTTGTTGTGTTGTGGGGTTTTTTTATTTCAAATCTTCTATTTGGAAAGAAACTGCCAAGTCCTGCACCTTGTGCTACACATTTTAACATCAAATACAGAAACAGCAGTATGTGTGCCACAGCAAAATCTAACCATATGGTGGGGAACGGCACTCAGCAGGGGTGCAAGACCAGCAGACAGTTTGGGAGAACTACAACTACATCTTCCTCTGACTCCATAGCAGGCCCAGACACATAGAGTGATTTCCTATTTGCAAACCAAAACAGTTTTACTTGTTTATTAAAAACTACCAATGTCCATTTGGGACACTAAAGAATTCCTGAGTTGAAAATAGTTTTTTCTAACCGTATCAGTCAGCTCTATAAAGCATCCTTATTACATGCCAGATTTTACTTCCAGATGTAAATATTCTGAATTCCATTAGTTTCAGTGAAAGCCATACAAGTGTTTTATGAGGCCAGCATTTAATCCAATAGAAAATCAGCAGGACTTGAAAACCAAGGACAGATACCCATTTGTTACAGCTCATAACTTTGCCTCAGTATAAAGCACTGAGGCTCTGCCTTTAGATGCACGCTGCAGTCTGTGTACTTCACTGTGCAGCAGAACAAGGACAGCTCTCTGCATCGTCACTCACACAACTCAAGCAAGAACACACTAACCTATGTACCTGCTGTTTATACTCCATACATCCAGCACGTAATATGAGTCTCCTAAGCCAGCAGTGTGCCCCTGCAGCCAGGAGGGCCGGTAGTATCCTGGGGTACACTGGGAAGAGTATGGCCAGCAGACTGAGGGAGGTGATCCTCCCCCTCTGCTTGGCCCTAGTGAGGCCACATCTGGAGTACTGTGTCCAGTTCTGGGCTCCTCAGAACAAGGAAGGCAAGAAGCTACTGGAGAGGGTCCAATGGAGGACCACAAGGATGATTAATGGACTGGAGCATCTGTCTTATGAGGAGAGACTGCAGGAGCCGGGCCTGTTCAGTCCAGAGAAGAGAAGACTGAAAGGGGGTCTCATCAATGGATATAAATATCTCAAAGGCAGGTGCCAACAGGATGGTGCCAGACTCTTTTTGGTGGTGCCCAGTGACAGGATGAGGAGCAATGGCCATAAACTAAAACACAAGGAGTTTCACTTCAACATGAGGAAGAACTTCTTTACACTGAGGGTGGCAGAGTGTAGCAGTTATTAATATAATAAATAATAAGTCCCATGGGGACCATAGTAACACCAACGTGGTGTGTAACCAGAGAGCGTTTATTCAAGGAGTCCCAGCTTATATAGCAGTTTCAAATGCTGCCACGTCACACAGGTAACTTAAGCCAATCCCATACAAGCATTCAACAGAGCATGTGTGACAGAGTACTTAGAACTACAACTCCCAGGATGCTTTGCAGCACCTGGTGTAACCAGACCCCACAATTCCCCCATTTTTATTAATAACAAGATACAAACAGTGTAAATTCAAAAAACAGTGTAATTCTTAACAAAACGTTTTTCACTTGACGTAGTAAACTTATTTTTTGCTTAAACCTTATATACTTAAGAGTTCTATATAATAACAAAACTTTATTAATTAAAAACCTTATTTACCTAAGGGTTTTTCGTAATTGGGTAGAACAAAAACTTTTATCAATCTGAGGGTTTATATAGAATTGGGGAAAAGTTACTTTATTAGAACACAAGGAAAAGTTTAAAGGAGGAACATCATGTTTTGAGTTGCCTTTTATTAAGGCAATATATTAGAGGTAGTGTTTGCTCTGTGTGTTCATTTCAGATATTTTGTATAAGGTGTAAATGGTTCACATACATTCATACATTCACACAATCTCTCTTTCACTCATTCGGGTGGCCACCCCAATCATTTTTCATTCATGCATACATGTAATCTTTGCTTTCATATTCTAGCTATACAACTTAAACTTTTATGTAGTGTTTGGTCAGAATGAAAATTATTTGACTCAGGATTTACTTAATTACATGCATATTCTGTCTACTCCCCTTCTTTTGTTGTGAATATGAAAAGTTAATGAATTTAAAGGTATAAGAGTGGTAAGTAGTGTGTATATTTCTGAGTGTGTAGTTAGAGACATGAATAGGTAGGTTACTATTACAATCTGTTAATAACAATAGAAATTCTTAAAGATGCTAATTACTACTTAAACGAGATAGTTACAAACTTAAACATATTTAGATACATTTAAGAACTTAACAATTTTAAACAATACTTAGTTAATGTGATTATTAGTAATTTAAACAAAGTTACAGGGAAATTAGAAACTTAAAAATGTATTAATAAGGTAACGTTGAATTTTTCTTTCTTATTAGTGTAACTAGAAAATTAAAGATAGTTAACTAAATTATTTTAGACAAAAACATTTGTAATGATTTCTAAAGGGTTATATGTAAAACATGTAAAAACAGTCAGTAAATTCAGTGTCTGTACAGTTTTGGCCTCGGCCCAGGTCTTTGTCCGGGCCGCCGCCCCTCTCACAGGAGTGGGGAGGCGGTGTTGTCACTATTGATGCTCCCGGAGGAGCCGGAGTGGCTGCGGCCATGGCCCGGTGCGCTCACGGTGGGGCCCATGTCGCTGGTCATCGCCGCCGGGTCTCGGCTCAGCGCCGCGTCAGCCGCATGTGCGGCTGTCCCGGGCCGCGCTGCTGCGCCGCGTGGTCCGCTTCAGGGGAGCGGCGGCACGGGCGGCTGGCTCGTGTAGTGGGATGCGACCGTCAGTTCCAGGCACGGCCCGACCCGGCCGTCACTACGGGCTGCCCGCGTTCCAAGTGCAGGTGGGCGGCGAAGGCCTCGCAGCTCTGCGCCGCCGACACGTGTTCACCGAGCCGCCGCCGCCGCCCCAGCTGCATTTACAAACTTGTGCCACAGTCCCGGCGCAAGCCTGCTCGGCCGCCCGGGATGGCCGCGGACCGCCCCGCAGCTTCTCCTCAGGCACGGCGGCTGCCCCCGGCCGGGGTTCCACGCGAGCTCGCCAGGAGCTCCACGCGGGTCGGGGCGCGGCGGGAGTCGCCGCCAGCTGCGGCGGGGCTTCCGCGCTCGGGTCACCGCCTCCCGCTCGCCGCGCCTCGGCCGGGCTTTGGCCCGCTTGCGGCCTCCGGACAGAGGCGCCCAGCGGCGGCGCCGCTCCAGCCGCCCGGCTCCTCCACGCTGTGCGCCGGGCCCGCCGCTCCCGGTGGTGCGCCGCCGCTGCCATCTGGGTTTGCGCAGGAACCGCCGCCGCAGCCTGGTCGACACCAGCCGGCACCGCGAGAGGAAGTCGCCGTCGCTGCCGAGCCCCGTCCCGGAGCCGCCTGCCTCGGGGGCCGGAGTCGCGCCCGCCGCCAGCAGTCCTGCGGAGCCGTGCACAGCTCTGTTCCCGGCCTGACTCGCTGCGGCTGCCGAGCGCCCCGACAGCCCCGCGCTCTGTGCTCGCTGCGGCCTCGCGCCGCAACGCCGAGCGGCTATCACGTATCTTTTTAAACATCGCGCCGCTGTTGCTGGTAGGCACAGCAGCTGTTGCTTAGCTACCGGCTCCCAGCACGGACCATGTTCCATGCATGCCTCCAGCAGAGGCAGTCCATAACATGGCCACGAGACAGGAAGAGAAGGCATCACCTCCTGCTCCCGGCATGGGCAAGATGGCGCCGCCCATGCTCCGGCGTGGTCTCCGCGTGTCTGCAAGTTTGTTATGGCTTGGGATTCAAAGTTTGTTCCCTTTACCAGTCACATAACCCGCGACACGCGCTTTTTCTCGGAATTCACGCATCCGCGAAAATTCAGTACAAAAAGGTATATTCTAAGGCTTTTCTTCCGTGCTCTCGGACCCCCTCCCCTTTCCAGACTGCAGTAGCACGTGGAGTTCCATGCTTTACAATGTTTGGGGAGGGGAAGATTCAAAGTTTCTCTCTGTGGACGAGTTCTCTTGTGAGGGTTTTAAAGTGTCCACCTTTTTACTTTTGTTTTCTCTCTGCTTCTCCACTCCTCTTTCCAAGCAATTTCACTAAGAATTGTAAATAACAGCAGTCCTAAAACAGTTATTTTCATCAATTTTAAAAGTCCAGCTATTTTATGTTTGTTAACCTGTCTCCAAAGTCTTTTCAATATCAAGCTTAAGGCTCTTGCAACATTCTGCGGCTCACGTGAATTAAAAGTTTTCATTCTTTCTCTTTTCTTTTTTCTCCCGCCTCTCACCTGGGACGTAGATTTTTCTTCTCGAGAGCGTCCTCTCAAAACGTAGGCAATTTCCTACCGAATTCAGGCCTTTTTCGAGCTCAATCGCGGTTTCTCCCGCC